TGTTATTTTTAGAGATGTGGTTAATAGGAGATCCAATCAAATGAATATAGATGTGATAAACAGTTCCAATTTATGTTCTGAAATAATAGAATATTCGAATAATGAAGAATGTGCTGTTTGTAATCTTGCGAGTATTAATCTACCATCCTTTATAATTAAAGAAGAGAATAAAATCAATGGTGAAGAGATCAAAAGGGTCGTGAGAAGACTGACCAAATCCTTGGATATATTGATAGATAAAAATACATATCCTATTCCTCAGGCAGAGAAATCCAATAAATGTCATAGACCAATCAGAATTGGTACATCAGGTTATGCATCATTATTATGTGTGATAGGAATTCCTTTTGATTCAAAGAAAGCAAAAATAATTATACAAGAAGTTTATGAAATAATTTATTTTTTAGTTTTGGAAACATCAATGGAATTAGCAGTAGAAAGGGGTAGGTATGAAATATTTGAAGGCTCTCCATTCTCCAGAGGTCAATTTTAATTTGATTTAGCCGATTGGAATAAATTGATCGATAAAGATTTAGTTAGTGCAGATTTTATTACTAGAACTTTTGATTGGGTAAAACTACAATGTTCATTAAATTGGACAAAACTCAAGGGTAATATTCAATTAAATGGTACGCACAATTCTTTATTGATGACACAGATGTCTACATCAACAACATTGACAATATTAATGGTATCAAATGGTATAGATCCTTATTATTTAAATATATTTCAATTAAAGAATAAAGGAGGGTATTTTGTAACAGTTAATCGATATTTGGTTAGAGATTTAAAAAGGAACAAATTATACTCAGAAGAAATAATCAATAAGATTATTTTCAATTCTGGAAGTATTCAAAATATTAAAGAAATACCAAAGCTGATACGTATGTATACAAAACTGCATACAAATTACCAAATAAAATAATGATCGAATTGGCTGCAATCAGAGGATTGTTTTTAGACCAATCACAGAGTATGAATTTATTTTACAAGAAAAATTTAATTGATTTGAGAATATCTGATCTCTGTTACGCACAGAGTTTAGAACTTAAGACTGGATGTTATTATACATGATGTATATCAACTAGAACTAACTATAAACACAAGGGTGTAAAAAGACATCTCGATAAAAAACGTAAAGACAATGTGGATATAGAAAAATATGAAATTGATTGTACTAATTGTAGTTTATGATATTACATTATTTTAATTTTTCTAATAAATAAATATTATTTGGTATGATTCATCTAATTTTTTTTGTAATACTTCGTTGGTATCGTAAACTATTTTTATTGCCATGTCCTTTGTGCTAATAACACTTAACTGATTCAATAATTGTTCTTTTAAACATCGAATATAGTTATCTTTGAGTTTTATTTCCTGTTTTAATAAATCAATTTTTTCCTTCGCGATTATTAATTCATCCTTATTGTCCTTTTTTTTTTTTGAACAGACGAATGAGTTAGTTGTCTGTTATTTTATGTTAATTAAGTATTTCAAAATCGAAGATCAATTATTTATTATTTAAACTGACTGACATTATAATTAAAATCTAATTAAAAATGAAAGAAAATTCAATACTCGACGTGCAAACAAAAGTTAAAAAAACAAAATTAAATAATGAGACACACTCACGAATTCATCGACAGAAAGATTATATATCTTGTATTTTGTATTGCAAGTATACTAATAGACTTCTTGTTGAGTATCGCTCAGACAAGAGGGTTTATAATAACCTATTCTTACCAATCAGTGGTGGTGCCAAAAACTTAATGGAATTTGATCCCAAATTACTTACTGAGTTACTTGAATCTAATAGAACTAAAAAACGTACAGAAGGGCTTTCATTAGAAGTTAATAAATTTGATTTATCGAAGCTAGTGAATAAATTGGGTGGTGAAGATAATAGTAATGATAATTTATCAATCAAAGAAAAGGGGACCAATAAAAAAAGATGAATGTATTCTAGAAGAGAGACACTCTATGAAACTCTACGTTGTGAAGATTTGAAGAAACCGATTTAAAAATAGAGGATTCAAGTATATTTGTTCAGTATATTGAATTAGACGAATTGATTAAAGAAAGTAATGGTATTAATACTAAAGTTTCCTTTATAAGAATAGATACGCGTATTCACAAGGTTCGAACAAAGGAGAGGGGTAGTTTTATAACATCCCAGACAATTGAGAGTTTTTTAAATAATAAAAAATATTTTACTCTGACTATCAACAATATGTTTGATAAATATAAGCAGTATTTGGTGTCCAAAAAGAAATATGTGATCACATTGATTGGTCCACGATGTTCTGGTTTAACACATTCAAAAAAGATTATTCGTGATTACTTAGAATTGAATGGGCTTGTCGTATCATGTTTAAACGATGATGAATTATTTGATAGTATGATACAAGATTCAGAGATTATTCAAGGAGAAACTAATATTATTACTAAGCAATATTCGGTATACAAACTTTATTTGAATTTATATAATTATTTGGTAAACGAAAGAAAACCACACGCAGATATTATAATATTAGAGAGATCATGTGATGATGTTAATATTTGGAACGCCGGATTGCATATTTTACCTGTTAATTATTATCGACAAGACATGCAGAATCAAATATTAATTTATATTCGAAGCAAGATACTTTAGATTTAGTTTTACATATTCTTGATGATCTTTGCAGTAGCAAAAGTGACATAGATTTTCCTCGGTGGTATTATTGATGTTGATCATTAATACAAAGAATGAATTAATTTTAGTTTAGTTAAATTCATAGTTAAAATAAATAATCCAATAAAATAGTATTTTAATATTGGTGTTCATATTAATGCCAATTTTTCCTAAAGAATATTCTTTCAATAGGAATTATAAAAGAGAATGTTAAAAATCTAAATTGAGCTCTTGTAAAAAAAATGTCTATTTCAGTACAAAAATCTGCTAATCAAATTTGTTGTTTCTGTATGCATCCAGCTGAAAAATATCTTTTGAAGGAATTTGGTTATGTTTATACGTGTGAATGCATCAAGGATAAAGACAATGACGGAAGGATATGTTTATTCCACGTTTATGAAAAACTTTGGTTAGATATATTAGATAGATGTTTTGTCGATTTTAAATATCACAAAGAACTAAAATGATGTTCGTATTTTAATTTGATCTTTTGTGTCAAATTTAACACAAAAAATGGGTTTTCGGTGTGTTCAAGTAAACCACGCGATTGTATTTGTGGTTTAAAACCAATAGTAAAATATACTTGGGATAGAAAAATAAGAAAATATGGTTGGAGATATTGCTATAGGAATTTCAATAAAGGAATGTTTGATTCAAAGGGCGATAATATTTGTGTTAGGATCTATAAATATAGTATGTTTATTCCTGCAGAGGAATATATACACTATAGACCTTTTTTTAGAATACATGAAGTTAAAGACAATGCTTTAAATTCAATTTTTTTTTTGAAAAGTAAGAAAGAACAATGTATTCTATTAGAAGAGGGGATGGTCATATTAACAAAGAGGATACAGGAGCTCGAAGGGAAGTTAACGAAAAGAAAAAAAAGAATATGTTGAAAAATTTCAATGTGGGATTTGTTATACCTGAGATATCATAGTGGTACTTTTATGTGGTTATGTACTATGTAAATCGTATTTCTCAAAAGACCGAACAAGTAACACGCAAACAATTACATGTCCATATTGTTGTAATTTAGTTTCAAAAATAGATATTTATATTTCATAATTTTATTAATAAAATAATTATTTGAAATTATTAATACCATTTGCTATATAATTAATATATTCAATACTTTTTTTATATCTTGATTATGTACTGCGTTAATTAAACTATTTATATTTTTTATATGTTGAGTCAAATCATATTTATTAACTACACTAAAGAAAATATCTAGATTGCTTAGATATAATGTTTTACTTTTGTTTTCTTTCCATTCAACCAATAAATCTAAGTATTCTTTGGTTAAATTCACAAGGTTTAACACTTGTAAGTTATCCATTGAATTAATGATCATTTTAGTCTCACCTTTAATTTTAACAGAGTTATTTACTATGAATAAACCAAATGTTGTGGGCTCACAAATATTTTCTATTTTCAATTTAAATTTATTTAAGTCGTCATTGAATATTTTATATCTCGGATTGTAGTATTGATGACCACATTGTAAATTAGCATTCTTGTAGTTAACACAAGAGCTTCTGTATTTATACTAAATGATAAATGTTGTTTCTCTATAGATCAATAGAATGTCACATTTATCATTACCAATAATTTTTATCATACTAGTTTTCCGCACTAGTAATGAATTATTCTCGTGTTCTAATGTATGTTTATGAAAAGTATCATCAAAGACACGACACCTGGTACCCGCAAGGATTATTTTTTCATTAAATAAAAGGCGATTTATATGTTTGTATATTTCAAACTCGAATTTTTCACCAATTACAAACGCGTTCAATTCATCAGTTGTGTAAGAAGTCATTGTGTTTATTTAAAATTTTACTAAAAATAAATATAATTATGTGGTATTTCAACCGGAGTTATAAAAATATAATTATGTAATTCTCTAAATTGCTTTATGATTTCAGTATCTGTACCTTTATAGTTAA